TTTTATAGTTTCTAGAATCTTAATAAAGTACTAGCGTAACTGCCAAAGGTTAAAAAAAAAAAAAAAAAAAAAAAAAATATTACTTTTATTAGATTTCAATTCACTTTATGCTTACTGCTTAGTGTACCTATAAACAATACTTCTATTCGATACTAATTGCATTGCACCAGACTTTTTTTTTAGTACTATTTACCCTCCAATTATAAATAACCTAGAATTATAGAAGAAACTTATGAAGAACACAAAAAAAGGCTTAATTGTGAACGACAACAACATTATAGAAATAAAAAAAAGAAACTTAACACAGACAACAGAGACAAATCTATACTCAGTCACCAACTTGGAGAAAGAAGTGATGCAACTAATTTACATGTTAAAAGAAATGAAGAACCTGAAGATACTACAAGCCATAAGCAAACAAGAGAGATGCTAAATATTATTAATGAAGATATTAATATTATAACTTCATCTTTAAATCTTAATTTTAGCCATACTGAAGATAATTTAATTATTGCTTCTACTGTTCCCAGTACTAATATTTCTTCTGTTACAGCTCAAACCCAAAAACTAAAAGCACGTATCTATCTGTGGTCTTCAGTTGGCTTGAACTGTCACAATCTAGGAAATATGAAACATAGATGTCGAAACTGTGGATCTCTTATGTGGATAGATGAATGAAAATCCGAAACATCTAAATGATCTCCGGTTTTTACAGGCTGCTGTGCCGGAGGAAAAATTTGCCTTCCACCTTTTCATGACCTACCACCACCTTTAAATGCACTTCTTACAAGAATGGATTCTGAAGCATGATTATTTAAACAAAACATTAGAATGTATAATTTAGCATTAGCTTTCACATCTATAGGTGCGAAAGTTGATTATAGTATAACAGGAACAGGTGGTATTTACAGCTTTAGAATCCATGGTGAAATGTATCACAGCATAGGTTCTCTACTTCCTGATGGTAACAATTAGCCTAATTTTGCTCAAATATATATATATGATACTGAGCATGAACTTCAAAACAGGATGATTATAATGCCTGGACTTGACCCTAATATTCTTTTTGACCTTCAGCAAATGTTACATAATATTAATCCATATTGTAGAATATTTAAACAAGTTACTAATATTCTAAGTTCAAATTCATCTTTTGATCTTAGAATAGTAATTACAGATAATCGACCTACGGACCCCAGATGTTACAATACTCCGAGTGCTACAGAAGTTGCAGTCATTATGGTTAGTGCTGAACATGAACCTGAGCCTCTACAATGTGATATTGTTTTGCATTTACGTGAAGGAGAATTTCAAAGAATATCTGAATTACATCGTACTTATGAACCATTGCACTATGTCCTTATGTTTCCCAGAGGTGAAGATGGTTGGCATTATAATATACCTACAAGTAATATAGATTTCTCTACATTTTTATCTAGCTCTACTGCTCTTGACGCCTTTATAATGAATGAAAAAGAAATTTATACAATACAAACTGTTACTGCGATGAGATATTATGCATATCAACTTCATTTTGGCTGTCCAAATGAACCTGTAGTTCTGCATTTATTTGGTCGCCTATTTCAGCAGTGGATTGTTGATATGTATGCTATTGTAGAACAAATGCACCTTACTTTCTTGCGATTTAATCAACCATGAATACGTTCTGAGTTATATAGCGGGTTACAAGATGCAATGCAATCAAGAGACAGTATAACTACTATGGCAAATGTAGGACAACACTTAATCTTATCTTCATCTTTTACAGAAGAGCCCCGTCAAATGCACCAACTTTATCAAGATGCAATGGCTATTGTGAGAGTACTTGGCAAACCTGATCTTTTTATTACAATTACTTGCAACCCACAATGGCCCGAAATTACTAATGCTCTTTTTCCAGATCAAACTTCACAAGATAGACCTGATTTAATAAGCCATGTTTTTAACTTAAAATTAAAAGCTTTGCTTAGAGAAATTTTAAACAAAAAAAATTTTGAAAAGTTATAGCACATGTTTACACTATAGAATTCCAAAAACACAGCTTACCTCATGCGCACTGTCTTTTCATTCTTGAACAAGCATATAAGCCCAAATCAATTGATGATTATGATGCCATTGTATCAGCTGAAATTTCTGACAGAAATTGTGATTCTCTTCTGTTTGAGACTATAAAACGATCAATGATGCACAGTCCTTGCAGTGTTTTAATGCCTAATGCTCCTTGCATGAAAAATGGACAAAGCTCAAAAGGATATCCCAAACACTTTCAAGAAAGAACTGCTGTTAACAATGATAATTATCCTATTTATATGCGAAAAGATAATGGTAGGACTGTAGAAGTTCGTGGAGCAACATTAGATAACCGTTGGGTAGTCCCATATAATCCATATCTTTCAGCTAAGTATAATTGTCATATAAATATTGAAATTTGTTCTTCAATTACTGCAGTAAAGTATCTCTTCAAATACGTTTATAAGGGACATGATCGAGCTACTATAGAAATACGAAGACAAGCTCTTGAACTTAAACAACTTCAGCAAACTGATGAAATAAGTCTCTATCTTGATGCTTGGTATGTTTCAGCATCTGAAGCATCTTGAAGATTATTTCATTTCAAATTGCATGATAGAAATCCTGCTATAATGCCCTTCTAAGTTCATCTTCGCGGTCAACATAGAATTCCCTTTCATGACAATGAAACTTTGGAATCTGTACTTGAGCATGCTAAAACTGAAAAATCAACACTTACAGCATGGTTCCAAGCTAATTTAACATATCCTGAAGCTCGCAATCTTACTATCCGAATTTTCTAACTAAGTGGGTTTATGATAAACGAACCTGTATTTGAAAACCATAACAACATGAAAATGTTATAGGTCGCATGTATTTTGTTCACTCTACAGCTGGTGAACATTACTATTTGAGGCTTCTACTTAATGTTGTCTCTGGTGCAACCTCTTTTCCGAACCTCCGTACAGTAAATAGTATATTATATAATACTTTCAAAGAAGCTTGTGATGCTTTAGGTTTGTTACAAAATGATAAGGAATGGGACCGATGCTTAGCCGAAGCTGCACTAATTCAATCTGGATCCCAACTACGTCATTTATTCGCTACTTTTCTCTTATTTTGTAATCCTATTCATCCTGAGACACTTTGGGAAAAATATTTTACTTCTTTTAGCGATGATATTAGATTACAACTTCCTGATATTGTTAACTCAAATACTAATCTACATAATCAAGCTTTACTCTACTTACAGTCTATTCTAAATAACCACGAAAGAAGCCTTCATGATTTTCCCAACATGCCTATACCAAGTAATTTATCCAATTATAACTGCACTAATCAATTAATTGCCGAAGAACAAAATTATAACATCGAAGACCTAATTCAAACTACTGAAACTGGAATTTCTCTATTAAATGTTGATCAAAAAGCTATTTTCACCAAAGTTATAACAGCAATTGAAACCTGTACCCTTACTGTTTTATTTGTTGATAGGCCTGGCAGAACAGGAAAAACATTCCTTTATAAGTATGAATTTATTATTATATTTAATTGTTTTTATTTTTTTATATTCTTACCTATTCTTTCTATATTTAGCATAATACTTGCAAAAGTTCGTTCACAAGGTCATATTGCTCTTGCTATTGCTTCTTCAGAAATTGCATCTCTTCTTTTACCCGGTGGTCGCACTGCACATTCCAGATTCAAACTTCCTTTTACTTTACATAAGTCTTCAACTTGCTCTATACCTCATCGCTCTGCACTCACAGAACTTCTACAAAAGGCAAGTCTTATAATTTGGAATGAAGCTCCAATGGCTCATAGAAATGCACCTGAAGCTTTAAATCGAACATTGCAAGATCTTATGAAAGCTATAGATCCTGCTTTTGAAAATTTGCCTTTCGGAGGTAAGATTTTCATATTTGGAGGTGATTTTCAACAAATTCTTCCTGTTGTAGTCAAGGGTGGACGCGAAGATATTGTAAGCTCCTCCTTGAAACGCTCACCTCTTTGAAACTCTATCAAAGTTATGTCACTGAAAATCAATATGCGTCTTTTAAATGCTACTAATACTTCTAATGCTTCTGAGGAAAATGAGTTTTCTAGATGGCTTTTTAAGCTTGGCGAAGGTCTTATCCCTACAATCACAAGAGAAACCGATCTTATTCAACTTTCAAAAGACATCATCCTACAATCCCAACATTTATCAAACCTAATACATACTGTTTACCCTGCCCTTTCACCCCATTCTAATTCACAATATTTGGTCGAGCACGTGATTCTAACTCCTAAAAATGATTACATTCATGCTATTAACTCTACAATTATGTCCCATTTTCCTGGAGAAGCAACTGAATATTTTAGTGCTGATACAATTGAAGAGCAAACTAACAATATCCACATTTATTCAGTCGAATTTCTAAATTCTTTAACAATTGCAGGTCTTTCTCCTTATAAGTTAACATTAAAACCAGGTGCTCCTATTCTATTATTACGAAATCTACACCCTGCTAACGATCTTTGTAATAGAACTCGATTAGTTTGCCAATCGTTTCGACAACACGTTATTGATGCTGAAATTATTACTGGAAACAATTCTGGAACCCATGTATTCATTCTTCGAATTGCTATGATCCCTACTAACGTTGATTTACCTTTTGTATTCAAATGTCATCAATTCCCTATACAGTCTGCTTTTGCTATGACTATTAACAAGTCACAAGGCCAAACTTTAAATTTTGTAGGTTTATATCTTCCAAATCCCGTATTCTCGCATGGACAACTTTATGTTGCATGTTCTCACATTACTTCTTGATGAAATTTAAAAATTCTTATTACGCATCAACAAGAAAATGAAAACAATCTTGCCATTACATCAAATATTGTTTATCATGAAATCTTTTCATAATATTTTTCTGAACCGTCCTATCGCATTAACTTTATATCTTTCTACTAATCCTCTATTATCTACTCTTTACATTACTCGATATTCCTACTTTCTCCTTTATTTTATTACTATTATTTATTATTTTACTATAATTTAATGCTTAATTTATTTTTTTATTTATTTAATTTATACATCTACTTATCGACTGTATGCCTAAATATATCAAAATAAATTCTATATATTACAATAGTTCTATTATATTAACATCAATCGTTTTATGTGAACCTAACAATTAGATCATCCATATAACGAATTTTTTAAATTGTTACTCATTAGTAACATATATATTTAACTATTCATTGACAAAGATTTTACAAAATTATAATGCCTTTGCCACCCATATATTCCAAGTATCCTTAACAAGCCATTTTACTTATAAAACAGAATTTTAATATCGTATATATGTAAACTTTTTGTGTTACTATGGAACTATATTTTTGATCACTAAATATTTTCTTAACATAAGAATATTCATATATTCCATATATCCTTTTATAACTTATCGTAAGAAGTACCATCTCTTTCTACCTTCTTCATTTCTGGCTACTATTTCAATGTTTTTTGTTGTGCCTGCCCTGATCTAAATGCGCTCTTTAATACTAAAATACTTTTTTATAATAGACTATTATACAGTTTGCAAAATGCACCCTTACAATATACCACAATTATACAATATATCGAGCTATACATCAAAATTTATTATTAAGTCCAATGTAAATATCTGGATACCTTACATAGTAATTTATGATAATTTATAGTAATACCTATTTAAATTAGGTGTTTTTAGAGTTATTACCCAGGTTTAACTATCCTGTAAGGATCACAGATCGAAAATCATCTTGCCACTGTCAAGAATGCAAAGCATCTATTTTTGATACTTCTGCACTTCCTTTTTTGATACATCTAATATCCTAAAGTTTCTATACCTTTTATTATTATTATAATGTGCAATCTTATTAGGTATGTTTGGATATATCAAAAAAAATAGAAGCAGAAGTATCAAAAATGAATATTTTCGTCACAAATAAATTATAATTAACCGAGTTTTCCAAAGTAAAAATGAATGAACTCAAGTTATGAGCACGATTAAAGAACTTTTTAATGCAAACCTTAAAATGTTCATACTTAACAATATTTTGAAACATATATTTCAATATACTATGACTTAAAGTTTGATTATTCTGTAACTATTGGCCTGGGTCGAAAAGTTTGACTAGATCAATATTAATTTTGGCCTACACTATACGAATTAGATCACCTATATTATACACTATTTTTCTAGAACATCTCTAATTTAATTTCTAATTTTTTAAGATCGGAAGCAAAGCGATAGGCTATATACTAGTATTATTAATCATTTATTGTGTTAAGGGGTGTGGCGACCTAGTAAAGTGGTTAGGTTGTCAACCCCCAAGTGGCAGGTCCAGAGTTCAAATCCCAGTGTCGACAGAAAAATTTGAAAATCCTCCTTGTATTATAGTTAACTGTTTCTCGCAATTGGTTAAGATAAGACACCTGTAATCTATATTACACCAGCATGACTGGCAGGTCACATGGCATTTGTGTAACAGTTACATGACATTGTCCTTTGGGACAAGGTCTGT